GCAACCAGAACAAAGAGCTCTGCGGGGCTGCTAATTGCAGAAAACAGGAGTTCGTTAAGTAATAAAACCCTCTCAGAATGAAGCAAGAAGGAGTCCTCGAGTGAGGAGCGTTTCATTCTCATGCACAGTCAGAGTCGGTGTTCTGAAATCGCGAATTTACTGCTAATAACAGGCGAAGTTTTATTATCTTGCAGCTCGTTTGCAGCTCTCTAATTACACGCCGGATAGGCTGAAGGTGGGATCTCTGCTCTTTCTCCTTTTGTCCCCTGCCCACACCTTCGTGCCCTGCAGGGATGGACCCACCGGACTGTGAAGAACACCAAGTGCAGCCCAGCTGCTCTTCAGACGCGTGTTTTCCGTGCCTAAAGTCCCAGAATCGTGGCGTGGTTTGGGCTGGAAGGGACTTTAGAGATCATCAAGCCACCCTCCATCAAGTGGAAGGGGGTAGGGACACCTTCCAGTAAGGGAGAAGAACCATCTGGAGGAGGTTTCCCAGCCACCCCCAGCTGATTCTGGAGATGATTTGTGAGCCAATGCTGCGCTCTAGTGGTTTTTGGAGCTCGAGCGCCGTGTCCAAATCTCTGGGGCAAGAAGAGAGACATCGAGGAGATGGAGAAGCACGAGAAGGGGCTGGAGGAACTCCTGAGGGAGCTGGGGGGGGGCTCAGCCTGGAGAAAAGGAGGCTCAAGGGGGACCTTCTGGCTCTCTGGAATTCCCTGACAGGAGGGGGGAGCCGGGTGAGGGTCAGGATCTGCTCCCAGGTAATGGCACAGGACAAGAGGGAACGACCTCAAGCTGTGCCAGGGGAGGGTCAGGTTGGGCATGAGGAGGAATTTCCTCCTGGAAAAGGTGGTGAGGCCTTGGCAGGGGCTGCCCAGGGAGTTTTAGATCTTAACTCCCCTCTGGAGCTCCCTCCTGTGTTGCAGCTCTTTCTTTAATTTATTGTCCTGGTTTGTTTTTATTTTACCATTAATGGGGTCAGGGCTAATTTCCCATCCCTTGAGCTTTCAATCCAATATCCCAGATCAAATCCAGGCAATTTACTTTCTTTTTTTTTCTTTTTCTTTTTTCCCCTTCTATCTCCTTTTGGCTGCCTTGTTCTCCTGCCAGCTCTCTATATTTGGAGCACTCAGGGAGCTTTGCATCCCAAAATTGCTGCACCGTGTCAGGGCTCTCCCCCCTCTTTGCATTCCTGCCTTATTAAAAGGTGCTGGATTCCCTGATGTCTCACCTGGCATCTCCTCCAGGGTGGTTTTTTTTTTCAGCTTCCCTCTGGACTTCTCAGCCCTGGCTGACCCTCTTTTCCTCTCTGTGACAGGGAGTTGCAGAGAGAGAGAGAGGGATTAGAGGGGAAAAAAAAAAAAAATAGGAGAAATCCTTCCCTGTGAGGGTGGGGAGGCCCTGGAATGGATTTCCCATCCCTGGGAGTGTCCAAGGCCAGGTTGGACGGGGCTTGGAGCAAGATCTGGATGATCTTTGAGGTCCCTTCCAACTCCAACCATTGCAGGGTTCTCTGATTTCTGGGTCATAACAAGAAAGGCACCGTTGGGATCCCAAAAAATCAAGAGTTCAGCTGGACTCTCAGTAAGTCAGGCAGGATGGGGTTTCACCACACGTGGGTTTTTTTAGTCAAATCAGGGGTAAATTAGGATTTATCTGAAGGTTTGGGCAGAGCCTGCCAGGATCCAGAGTGGAATAAAAGCAGTAGAAACATTAACACCTCGCTTTGGTTTAACGGGGAGGATCACACCCAAACCTTTTGGAGCTGAAAAAGCACCCAAGAGTTCTGGCTTTGGATCAAAGAAGCAATTACTGCAGGAGAGGAGGTGCCACAACAAAACCCCATTTATTTATATTTTTTTTTTTTTTTTTTTTGTGGTTCAGGTGGAGATGAACCCAGGAAGGCTCTGGTTTCATTCCTGCTGGAAAAGCCTTTGGGAAAGGGACCATTTCACCCCCTCTCTGATTCTTGCCCCATCATTGCCCAGGAATTCCTGAACTTCCTTATTCGTTTTCACCACCAAATTATTCATGGAACTTTCCCTTTGCCGCAAAAACCACCTGGGTGGAGCAGCTTCTCCAGCTCACGAGAAACCACATTTTTTTTAATAAAAAAATACTCAGGCCCTGCTCCCCTGGGCGTGGGTTTCAGCTCAGTGAGTGGGGCTGAGCTGGTCCCCCTCAGCAAGAAATTGTCCCCTTTTTTGGGGCCCGTTTCGAGCGACAAAAGTGCAGCTTCAGTGACTCCCCCCAAAATTAATCTCCTGTGTTTTTTTTTTTTCTGTGATCTGGACGCTGTGTGAGGCAAGAAGCTGAGATAAGGAGTGAGAAAGTCCCACGTGGCACTGGAGGATGTTTATCAGCTCCTGAGGGCTTTTTGTCACCCGTGGTGGTGCCAGGGACAGCTCTGCCAGCTGAGCTGGCCGGGCCAGGGCTGCATCCCGAGGTGTTTCCATCATCTGAGAGTCACTGGGTGGGTTATTCCCGTTGCCTGATAACAGGTGACTGCCTTGGGAATCACAGGAATGGGGGGACACCCAAGAGCTGGCTGTTCCCAGGGGCTGGAAATGGATGCTCATCTCTCTTGAGGAGAACAAGGAGGGGGTTTGAGCTCCTGTTTTCCCTCCAGTGCCCAAACACAACCAGCACCTGCTGGGCTTGGTGGGGTGGGTGAGAAGCCTCTGCCAGCTCCAACCTGGGAGATGGAGAGGGATGGGCCTGTGCAGGGCCAGGAGGATCCTTGCTGGGTGCCTTCCCACTCTCAGGGTGTTCTGTGACCATGAGGAGCTCGGTGGAGCTCTCCCAGTGCCACCACCACGAGGGATGGGACGCCCCCCCTTCCTGTGGGACCACCAGGACGCTTCCAAAGACTGGGAATCCAGTGAGACCTCGGGAAAACCCACCCCTACTTTTGGGTGCACTCCCAAAACCCCCGAGGCAGAGGCTGCTGCTGCTTCTTCTTCTCCTTCTCCAAATGCCATTCAGTCTTCCCATGCCAGGGAGGATTATTATCCTGCAGGTAATTACTCCTGCTATGGGAAGCTGACATCCAACTACTCATTGTCAGGGATGATGAGTGTGTTGATGCTGCTCACTCACTTGCAGGAGCTGCACTCACACGGGGGCAGCTTCTGCCTGGGTGTAAATTGGGCCTGTGTGGGGACCTCACACCTGCAAGGCACGTTTGGTGCCCGTATAAAAGCTCTGCTGCCGCTGGGACTCACCGGTCACATCATCCCCAAGCTGCTCTCACCAGGAGCTGGGTAAGTCTGGCTGCTGGATTTGGGATGGGAGGAAGAGATTTCTTTGCTGGGACAGCAGGGAGGAGACCCTGGATTGGGTTGCTCAACTGGGAGCGTTTGCAGCCAGGTTGGATGGGGGGGTTTGGAGCAACCTGGTCTAGTGAAAAGTGCCCCTTTGGAATGGGGTTTTAAGGTCCCCTTCCAACCCAAACCAACCTGGGACTCTCTGGCTGTGAAATGCAGATTTATTTATTTATTTATTTATTTTATTTATTTATTTATTTATTTATTTATTTATTACATATAAAAAAATGTTACTTGGGAAAAAAAGCTTTCAAAACTAACTGGAGAGGGGGAGAGGACTCTCTGATGTTCAGACACTCCTGAAAGGTGTGAGGGGAAAGTTCCTTTGCCTTATTTGGGGGCTGCCTGTTGTGGTTTGATTTTTTTTTTTTTGGGGGGGGGGGGGAGGTGCCTGACAACGGCCCTGGGCAGCTTTGGTGTATGTTTGGAATTCCAGCTGGGCTATCATTACCCTTTAATAAGCTTTGCTTCCTTAATGAGCGTGGATTTGGTGATGCTGGGGCTGAGCTGGGAACCTCTGCCTGCCTGGGGTGGGACAGAGGTGCTTTGGGTGCCCTTCTGCCTCTCCTGCTGGGGCAGATGTGGCCACAGATGTGGTTCAGAGCCTCTTGCTGGGTTGGGCCTTCTCGGGAATCATCCAACCAAAAGATGGGGAGGGGGCACAGGGGGGCTTAATTTACCGATTGAAAGGCAGCCCTGAGGTCAATTATTTCTGTGCTGACCTCCAAGATCAGTTCTCCCCCCCCTCCTCCCCCGGGAAGCTCCAGGTGATGGGAGGGAGTTGCAGTTGGTGAGATGATCAGTGGGAAGTGTCTCTGACTTTCCCCCTCCTGCCTTCTTTGGCTTTAATATCGTGTCTCAGAGTTGAGGAACTCAACTGTTTAAAGGCTGATGTGTCACAGAGTCATGGAATGGTTTGGGCTGGGAGGGACCTTAAAGATCATCTCATTCCAACCCCCCACTGTGTCATTCCTGTGAGGGGAAGAGGAGGAGCAGGCACTGATTTTTCTCTGTGTGGGCAGGGAATGGCTGGAGCTGTGTCAGAGCAGGGTCAGGTTGGATCTCAGGGAAAGGTTCTTCCCCCAGAGGGTGGTTGGCACTGAACAGGCTCCCCAGGGCAGTGGGCACAGCCCCAAGGCTGCCAGAGCTCCAGGAGGGTTTGGATGATCCTCTGGGATGCAGGGTGGGACTTTTGGGGATGGATCTTTGCAGGGCAGGGATCTGAACATGAAGATGCTTGTGGGTCCCTTCCAGCTCAGCAGATTCTGTGATTCTGTGATTTTGTGATTCTGTGATTTTGTGACTCTGTGACTGATCCTGCCACTCTGCCATTCCAGTCCTGCCAACCCCCCCCGCCACCCCCACCCCCACCGAGATGTCGTGCTACCAGTGCCTCCCTCCAGCCCACCAGGCCCCCCTGCCCACGCTGCCCCCCGGCAGAGCCCCCGCCGCGCCCGCCTGGCACTCCACGCCGTGCATCGCCCAGAGCGTCACCCGCCGGCACCTCCTGCCCTCCAGCATCTCCCAGCAGCACCTCCTGCCCTCCAGCATCTCCCAGCAGCACCTCCTGCCCTCCAGCATCAACCAGCACCAGGGGGTGACCCAGTGTGTGCCCCAGCAGCAGCGGGGGGTGCCCCCCCAGCACCCGCCCCTGTCCCAGCGCGTCCTGCAGCAGCCTCGGTGCGTGACAACGTGTGTGCCCACGGGCGTGACCGGCGTGTGCCAGCACCAGGGGGTGACCCAGTGCGTGCCACAGCAGCGGGGGGTGACCCAGAGCGTGCCCCAGCAGCGGGAGGTGACCCAGAGCGTGCCCCACCAGGGTCCCCCCGTGGCCGCGCCCCTTCAGCAGAGTTCACCCCGCTGCGTCACCATGTGCGTCCCTCGGCGTCCCTGCGGCGCCAAGGGGGTCCCTCAGCACCAGGGGGCCACCAGGTGCGTCCCCCAGCAGTGTGTGACCACCCTGTGCCCCCAGCAGGGCGTGCCCAGGTGCGTCACCACCTGCGTCCCCCAGCAGCGGGCGGCCAAGGGGGTGACGTACCGGTACGTGACCTCGCGGGCCCCCCAGCAAAGTGTCACCTCCTCCTGCGTCCCCCAGCAAAGTGTCACCTCCTCCTCCTACGTGCCCCAGCAGTGGGCCTCCAGGTGTGTGACCAAGTGTGTCCCCCAGCAGAGTGCCACCGGCTGTGCCTCCCTTTGTGTCCCCCAACAGCAGCAGCAGCAGCAACAACAACGTGTCACCCAGTGTGTCCCTCAACAGCAAAGTGCCAGCAGGTATGTCCCTCAGCAAAGTGCCACCAAGTGTGTCCCTTGCCAGAGTGTGACCAAGTGTGTCCCTCAGCAAAGTGCCACCAAGTGTGCCTGTTATCAGAGTGTGACCAAGTGTGTCCCTCAGCAAAGTGCCACTAAGTGTGTTCCTTACCAGAGTGCCACCAGGTGTGTCCCTCAGCAATCTGGGGTAAGTTATGCCCCTTATCAGAGCGTGGCCAAGTGTGTCCCTCAGCAAAGTGCCACCAAGTGTGCCTGTTATCACAGTGTGGCCAAGTGTGTCCCTCAGCAGCAAAGTGCCACCAAGTGTGTCCCCCAGCAGTCTGGGATAAGTTATGCCCCTTATCAGAGCGTGGCCAAGTGTGTCCCCCAGCAGCAAAGTGCCACCAAGTGTGTCCCTTGCCAGAGTGTGACCAAATGCGTCCCCCAGCAGCAAAGTGCCACCAAGTGTGTCCCACAGCAGTCTGGGATAGGTTATGCCCCTTATCAGAGCGTGGCCAAGTGTGTCCCACAGCAAAGTGCCACCAAGTGTGTCCCCCAGCAGCAAAGTGCCACCAAGTGTGCCTGTTATCAGAGTGTGACCAAATGTGTCCCTCAGCAAAGTGCCACCCAGTGTGTCCCCTATCAGAGTGTGACCAAGTGTGTCCCTCAGCAGCAAAGTGCCACCAAGTGTGTCCCTTGCCAGAGTGCCACCAAGTGTGTCCCCCAGCAGTCTGGGACAACTTATGTCCCTCAGCAAAGTGCCACCAAGTGTGCCTGTTATCAGAGTGTGACCAGGTGTGTCCCCCACCAAAGTGCCACCAGCTGTGTCCCTCAGCAGCATTATCAGTCAGGTGGGGTAAAAATCTCCAGCCACTGCAAAAAGTACGTCTCAGCTCCCAAGTGGCCCTGGTGAAAAGGAGCAGGGGAAGGAAAATCCCTGGAAAAGGGTGAGGTCCAGCTTTGGGATGGGGAGTTAAATTTATCTCCTCGTGCGCCTGCTGGTGGTTCCTGTCTCTTCAATCTGCTTTATTATCCGTGTTTTCCGACGTTCCCCCTGGAGCTCAGCTGGGCTTGGGTGTGATCCCATCTCCAGGGGCTGTGGATTGGACCTTAACCTGCTGCAAGGCACGGTTTGGTGGGATGGGATTAAATTTCCCACCTAAAACTCGAATAAACGGTGATTTTAAAGCAAAAAAAAAGAAAAAAAAAAAAAAAAGAAATTAAAGAAAGAGAAATGTCTAAGGAGTCCAGATCATGGCAGTGCCACCTGGAAGTGCTGCTGGTGGAGGGCTGGCCCATGCCCAGCTCCAGGTTTAATCCTGGAACTGGCACTGGTTCAGTTGGATCCCACGAGGCTGCGAGTTCTCTGGAGCAGCTGGTTCTTATTTCGGGAGCCCAAGGTGGGTCTGGGAAGCAAAAAAAGGTGCAAGAATCTCCCTGGAAGGGACCAGAGAAGGTCCAACCTCCCTGCTCAGGCAGGGGCAGCCCAGAGAGTTCTGGAAATCAAACCCCACAGCTCGAAACAAAAGCAAGTCTTTGAAATAACGCTGCGAGTTGCAGCACCACTGTTTTATTGAATGTTTAAGCTACAAAAGCAGGTAATTATGCTCTTTATGCCGCTTGAAGACGTGCACTCTTCACTGGGTTGAAAATAAACTTTATTTATACACATATATATGTATATTTACATATATAGGAGACTTAAATAAACAGAGCTCGGATTAAAAAAAAATCGTGTCTTTCTGCCTCCTGGGGGTTGGTTTTTTATTAAATAAGGTGAAGACCTGTCTGAAAAATAAAATAAAATAAAAATAAAAAGACACAAACCCTGTAAGGTGCCCTATCATTAGGGGAAAATGAGCTCATGGGTGTTTGGAGGGTGAAAACAAGTGTTGCAAGAGGAAGAGGAGGGCGTGACCTGGGCCAGGACGCTTGTCCTGCATCTTGCCCTGCTCCACCCCGGCTCGGTGACCTTGTGGTGGCACCTGGCTGCTTCCCCCCCGGGGGGTTCCTGGAGGAGCAGATCCCTTGGTCACCCTCTCCTGAGTGGCTGGTTGGGGGATGTTTTGGCTCCCAAGGGTGGGGGGGAAGAGCAGGAGTGACCGTGGAGCTCCTCACACCGACAGGGCTTGGGAGGTTCTCGTGGACCCCTTTGAAAGCAAGAAATAAAGTCCTGGAAGTGGTTTGGGTTGGAAGATCAGCTCAATTCCCACTGTCCCAGGTTGCTCCAGCCTGGCCTTGGACACTTCCAGGGATAAAGGGGCAGCCCCAGCTTCTCTGGGCAAGCTGTGCCAGGGCATTCAGGAATTTCTCCCCCAATATCCAACTTAACACATCCCCCCTTGTCCTGTCACCCCAGTTCCTGATGAACATCCCCCTCCAGAAGGTGCTCCAAGTTCTCCTTGTCCTCTCCGGGCTGAACATTCCCAGCTCTCCCAGCCTGTTCCCGAGCAAAGCTGGGACCCTTGGAGGAGCTGTCCCATCTCCAGGGGGCTTTGTGGCTTTTCCCAAAGGACCCAGAGCCCAGGGGACCCTTGGGAAAGCCTCGCTGGGTGCTGCAGGTGTCTCCTGTCCCACCTCAGTGGTCACAGGAACGGCAGGGGCTGGTTTGGGAGCTGCCCGGGGTGGAGTCTGTGGTTTTGCCTCTGGCTCTGACTCAGCAGTGCCTCAAGTTTTCCCTGTGCTTAATTAGGAATAATAACCCCCCCCCCACCTCTCCTCATCCCCCACCACCATGCCCCGTGTGGCTCCAGGAGACTCCTGGAGATGAAAGGACCAAAGAGATGTTAATTAAGGCCGTTGGGATGAGAGATCCTGATGGTATCAGGGGGTGGATGCTCTGCTCCTGCTCTGCAAGCACTAAACTGGGGGGGTTGGTGTTACTTGAGGGCCACTTAATCCAGAGCTTCCCCTGGAACTGGACTGGTGGAGCTCATAAAAACTGCCTTAATCTGCTCCCTGACGCCAGCTGGGCTCCTAAAACCTGAGGTCGGATCATTTACCATTAAAAAGGGCCTCGTGGTTCAGGGGAGGGGCACACAATAAAAGTTAGAGGGATCCAGGTCGAAGTCAAGGCTTTGTCTTCGGTGTCCCTCCCTTCAGCTGTTGGAATGTTGGGATTAACCTGGAAAAACAAGCACGTGGTCCCCATTATTTCCCCTGATGGTGAAGCTGGAAGGTCAGAAGTGCAAATAACAAATGCAGACAGCAAAGCTGCCTTTGGGGCTTTTGGATTTTCTGGGGAGGGGGAAAAAAAAAAAAAAAAGAAATAGGAAATTTAGCTCCTGGTTCATAAACCAGAGTTCAACATTCCCCTTCAAAATCACGGGAATTCTCCAAGTTAAAGACCTTCCAGGTCATGGGGTCCAGCTGGCAACGTAGCACTGCCAATTCCCACCAAGAAACCACATCCCTGAAAGATCATTTAACAGCCTGCAAGGGGAAGGCAAACCAGCAGCACTCCTGGGGCTTCATATTGGCCAGGGATTTTCCACTGCTCCCTCGAAAATTCACTTATTTCGCCTCAGGGGACGTTCAAGGTTGGATATTAGGACAAGGCTCTTCCCCCAGGGGGTGGTTGGGCACTGAACAGGCTCCCCCAGGGCAGTGGGCACAGCCCCAAAGCTGCCAGAGCTCCAGGAGGGTTTGGGCAACTCTCGGGCTCGTGGTGGCATTCCGGGACGATCCTTCCAGCTCAGGGTGTGATTCTGTGATTCTTCCCCCTCTCTTTTTTATTTCTGTTGTGGGACCTCACCTGAACTCCCAGCGTGCTGGAACCCAATTTAGAGCTGTGAGATTCATATTAAAGGGAGACAAGAATTCCAGAGCCTTCCCTCCTGCATTTATGACTCTGCCCCGTCGGCTCTCCCACCACTGCTAATTTTCCCTCGAGTTCCTTTGTGGCATAAACAAGGAACAAAAGGAGGGATGACTGGTGCAGGGAATGTGCAGCAGAGCAGGAAATGGGATTTTTTGGGGGGTTGTTGTTATTGTTGTTGTCGGCAGGGCGCTGGTTTGGTGGAGCCGCTTCTCCTCCGGCCACCCCAGAGCTCGTCCCTTCCTCATTGTGCCGGAAAAGCGTCACCTCTCCGGGCAGGTGATCCCCTTTGCTGGTTCCCTTTGTGACAGGGCGTTTTCAGGAGCTGTCTTGCCCTCAGCCCAAGGCCTCCCTCAGCCCTAATGACCCCTCTCTTCCCTGGATTCCCTGTGGAAGCCCGAAGGAAGTGCCCTGCTAATTACGGGCTGCGAGAGCCGAGTCCTTCCTGGACGGTGTTTTCAAAGGCTCCAAAAGGGGTTTCTGGCCTGAAGCTCCCACGGAAATGAGGAGTTTCCTTGAGTATCCCCTATTTTTAGGCGTGGAAAGGGGTGTTTCAGCTGCAATTGCCAGGGGCAAGCAAGCAGCGACGTTTTGGGGGGTACCCATGAGGCCCACCACGAGCAGCCCCTCTTTGGGGTGTCCTCAACCTTCCAGTGGGTTTTGTTGATGCATCCTCCTTGGCTCAGGATCCCTGCTGGGGGTGGGGATCCCAGCAGCCCCACCAGCACGAAGCTGCACGTGGCTCAGCCGGGACTGGCAGGCAATTAGAGAGAGCATCACCCAACCAAACCACCTCAGTCCCCTGGGGCACTTGGTCACTGTATAAAGGCTCGGCCCGTCCTGGTCCTTTCCCGGGCACTTCTCTCCTGTCCTTCCCCCCTCTCATGAAGTGGGTAAGTCTGGCTTTCCAAAGGAGCTCCTGAACTGCTCTTTGATTCCTGGGGTGGCTGGAGGAGGTGGAGGTCACCTGTGCCTGGTGGAGAAGCGTCTCTTGGCGGGGGGGGGGATGCTGCCCCTTCCAGCGAGGCTCTGCCAGCTGGAGCAGCTCTGAGGAATGTTGGGAAAGCGCTTCCAGGCGGAGTGGGAAGTCAGGAGTGGGATTTTCAGGCTTTTTCTGGGCTTTCTGGTGGTTCTAACCCAGAGGAGGATGTTGATTCCATGAAGTCAGGGCTCAGGTGGGAGGTTGCAGGCGAAAAGGTGGCTCCTCTGAAGGAAGTGGCACCGAGAAATTTCCTGGTTTATGGAGCTTGAACGCAGCAATTATTCCCTGAAAACAGCAAGAAGCTGGTCGAGTGCAGTGCTGACGTGAAATTCAGCTCTTTGGAGAAATCTGAAAGCGTTCAAATTCCTAAATGTGACAACAAGAAGCCTGAGATGCAAATGACCCCCCAGCCCTGTTTTATAAGCTTTTTATCTTGAGGAGCACCAGCAGATCCTCGAGCACCCTGCGTGTGATTGCTGCCATTGTTTTTATTAGACAATGACTGTTTTAATTGTAGGGATATCAAGTTTTCCTAATGATCCCAGCACACAGCTGAGAGTCACGCTGTGATGGGATTTGGGAGGACAGGACCCCTTCTGTAATTACAGGTAGAACCAGGGATTGTCAGGAAATGCAGTGATTTAATTACATCACCTTCTCTCCCAACGATGTTCAAATGATAAAAACCATTTTTTTTTTTTTTGATCAGACCACCTTTCAGTCTCAGAGGTTCCTGTACCCGTTGTGCTCCAAAAAAATCCACTTTAAACCTCAGAAAACCACCCAAAACTGTGTTTTCCAGAGCAGGGAAGTGGGATGGCTTCTCCTACAACTCCCAGGGCTGAGGCACAGGGAGAGGTTTCACAGGAGCAGAGCGTGGAGCTCCAGCTGGTGCCTCCTGGTTCTTCCCTCATGGATGTGGCCTGGGCTGGACATCCCCAGGGCCTTCCAGGAGGAGGTTTGGGTGTCAGATCCGCCACACAGGGCTTTGAGCAGCAGGTCTTTGGGGTCACCAGAACCAAAGCAGGGCACTCTGGCTCGGGATGACCTTGGGGCAGGACTGGGGGTGCTTTAAGGGGTGTAATTCCCCTCAACTCAGCCAAGCTGGAGACGTTCCAAACCCTGCTCTGCGTCACCCTGCCCTGGCAGGTGGTTTGATGACCTCCCAACCCCAACTCTCCTCTGCTTCTGTGCCATTTGATGAGGCAGCGCCGGCTCCTTCCCTCCTTTGGTGCCACCACTTTAAAACAATCCTGGTTTTATTGCCTTTTCCCTCCTTGAATGCAACAAAACAAAGCTGGGACTGCACTACCTGCAAACTGGGAGCTGTCGCTGCCAGGCCACGGATTCCCTTGGGAATTTTGGGCCAGCAGGATCCTACGTGCCGAGCTCCACGTGGCCACGAACATCTCCTCGCCCTCAGCTCAGAAATGGAACCTCAGCTGGGGTTTGGCCCTGGCCACACCTGGCTGTTATTACAGGTGTGGCCACGCCTTTGAGTAATTTGGCCTTGCCTTTCATCCTTTCATCTCAGCTGCTTGGGGAGCTGCAGGACCTGAACTGGGAAAGGGTGTCCAAGTGAGGGCAGGGAGGTTTTTCAGGAGGTGAAACCCCGGGGTCAGGCCCCACGTGCTGGTGAAGGGCTGTCAGTGCAGCTTGAAGGCGATTGAAGGGCAGCACGAAGGTCCCCAGGTCGCCTGGCTGCAGTCCCTGATTGTTTTCTGGGCTCTTCAGAGAAGGGTGTGTGGCCATGAGCTCCTCTCCTGGCTAATCCCAGCCTGCTCCTGAGTCACCATCGGGGTGTGGGGGGGTTTGTCCCCGGCAGTGAATCTCTGACACCCCCACCCCCCCCAAAAAAAACCCACTGGTGCCTCTGCAACCTGTCTGTGTTTCTCGCAGGTCTGAGTGCCTCCCCAACACCATGCACTGCTACGGGGAGAGGTACAACCACCTGTACCTGCCGGGGCCTGGCTACGTCGCCGAGAGCATCCGCCAGTGCCCGGCGCGGGTGGACGGCTGCAGCAACACCTGCCACCCTCTGAGCATCATCAAGAGCCCCCTGCCCCGCTGGCAGAGCTTCCCCCAGCCCCTCACCTACGTGTGCCCGCAGCCTGGCGCCAGCCAGGCCTCGCTGCTGCCCTGCCAGCCCTTGGTGCAGAAGTGCGTGGTGCTGTACCCCGAGCCCCGCGAGGCCGCCCGGCTGCTGCCCCGCGCCGACCCCGAGCCGGTGCCCGCTCAGAGCTGCTGCCAGCCCTGTAAGACCACCCAACCCGAGAAGAGGAGGGTGGCCAAAAGCCTCCCCCCGTGCGCCCCGAGGTGCCCGGAGCCCGGCAGGCTCAGGTTGCCGCCGTGTGGCATCAGGTACGCGGCGTCCTGCAAGGACGAGGGCAGGTCCCTTCGCCTCGCCAAGGGCTCGTCGCGCTGGTACGGCCCCGACCTGCGGCTGCAAGGGCTCACCGGCGGCTACTCCCTGCCCCTCCGGGGGGTCACCGAGTGCCCCCCGCAGCCCTGCCTCCAGGAGTACGCCCAGCACAAGTGCACCAAGGGCTACCCCACGCAGGAGTGTGTGCCGCCCCCTCCGTGCCCGGCGGAGCAGCGCCTCGCCAAGAGCCCCCCCGAGCCGCCGCGGGCGCCCAAGTGCCCGCCGGGGAAAGGGCTCAAGGAGCAGAAAGCGGCCACCAAAAGCTCGCTGCTGCCGCCGCCGCAAGAGGGAGCGAAGACCAAGAGCTCCTCCGCGCAGCACCTGAGCAAGTCGCGGTGCCTGTACCCGCGGGTCGCCTCCCATCGCCACCACCACCACCACCACCATCAAGCCAAGCGCTCCAGCCACCCCAAGAAGAGCCGCTGCGCTTCCAAGTGGCTCTGGTGAAAGCCAGAGAGGGCGAGATCAGTTGAGAAGGCAGCTGTGAATCCAGCAAGATATGTAGCTGAGGGCTGAGGTTGTTTCCCTCCCTCCTTCCCTCCCCTCTCCCTCTCCCTCTCCCTTCTCCCAGTCGCGATCCCTTGTCGTGCCCGTAGAGTGCATCCCCTTTCTTTTCGGACCACAATTCGGTTGTTTCTGCCCCTGAGAAGGTGCTGGGGAGAAGCTGAGCAGCTCTGAGCGGGTGCTCGGGCTTTGAAAACCTCAAACCGACCCAGCTCTGGGGGCAGCGTTTTGCAGCCTGAGGGGTTTTTACTGTCATTGGATCGGTTCTATTCGCACGTTGTACCATCACATTAAACTCAGGTTGCAGTTGGAGTCCCGCTCTCTGCCTGATTTATTTTCCACCTTTGAAAACTCTTTCTAACACCTGTTCCTGAAAAAAATAACAACCAAACCCAAAACTAACAAACAAAAAAAAAACCCCAAAGCCAACCAACCAACCAAAAAAAACACCATACAAACAAACAAACAAAACCACACACACACACAAAAAACCAAACCACGATTCCCTGTTTTTCTACTGCTCCTTTGTGTAAAATGAGGGCAGGGATCACACTTGTAGGAGTAGATCTACTACCACAGGGAACAGATCCTGCAGTGGGAACAGATCCTGCAGCTGTGCAGGGAGATTTGGATAAAGTGATGAGCTCTTTATCAGCCCTCAGACAGGAGTGTGACATCTATCCAGGCTTAGCTCGGTCACATCCCATCTCCTTTGCTTCCTCTGTAGTGCCCCAAACAGACCAAGCAGGATTTCTAGAGACTTTTTTTTTTTTTCTTATAAAGTGAAAGATTTGCCTCTAAAAACAGAGATTGGTGCAGCCAGGATCCCTCCAGGATTGGGAAAATTTCTCGCTCCCCACAGAAAGAGAATTCATTTTAATTTTGGTAACCGGGCTCAGTCACTAAAAGATGCCAGAATTCTGGGGGGGATAAGGGGTGGTCTTTGCATGAGGACGGCTCTCCTGCTCTCCTGCCCCCTGTTCCCTCCCTCTCCCGGCCTTTTCCAGGTGGGATTTTTCCCCGGGAAGGTCCCGAGACTTGGCTGGAGGTACCGAGTGGGGGGGGAATCCCAAAATCTCCTCCCTGCGGTGTCGCCGCCTCGTGGCCACCACCGGGAACTGCAGGTGGGGCCCCGGAGCGAAGATTCCACTCGGGAATTCACCTCAATCCCCACCCGGAAAAGACCTCTGAGATCATCAAGTCCAACCCTTGATCCACTCCCGCTTCCTGGGGAGGGGCAGAGGAGGGGCAGGACTGAGCTCTGCTCTGGGGGGATCAGGGAGAGCACCCAGGGAATGGCTGGAGCTGTGTCAGAGCAGGATCAGGTTGGATATTAGGAGAATTTTCTTCCCCCAGAGGGTGGTTGGGCACTGAACAGGCTCCCCAGGGCAGTGGGCACAGCCCCAAGGCTGCCAGAGCTCCAGGAGTTCCCAGTTTTGGGGTATTTGGATGCTCTGCAGGTTCAGTTGCAAAGAAATCGGAACTGCTGATTTTTCAAGAGACTTCTGTCGTTTCTAAGGAAGCAGCTGCAATGAGGAATGGCTTTAGGAGCCTCCAAGAGATCCATTAACCACACAGAACTGTCAAAACGCACAAAAGAAAATAATAATAAAAAATAAAATAACTGTGAGAACTCGGCCTCGTTTTTGGTGACACGATGGGGGGAAAATCACCCCAATCGTGAGGTTCCCACACGACAAGGAATGTCAAAACATGCCCAAAATATTCACGAGCAGTTCATGCAGGCAAAGTGTTTTATCTTTGTAATATAAATAGCACCTTACCCGAGACAAACAGCTCAGGGCTAAGGGTGCCTTTGGAATATGCACTTTTGGATGGAAGTGCCTTGGCTGTTTCCATAAACAGGATGTTGTTTTGGAGCCCAGACAACTCGAGGTGTTTTTCCCTGTCCATTAAACAACACATTTCTTTCTGCATTCGAAGCAGTTGCCCCCCAAAACGGGCTCAAAAGTGAGAGTTAAACAAGTTGTGACACTTCCAACCTGAACCCTCCTGTGATTTTGGGGCTCTCAGCTCTGAGAATCCACCTGAATCCTTGGGAAATCCCCGAAGCTCCACAAAATCCAGCCCCTGCTGCACATCAGTAGCCACGTGGTTAAAAACTTTCCCCCTTCAAGTGTCCCTTAAATCGACTTTCAGCCCTCGATGGTTCTTGTTTGAGCACAGGACGGGGCTGGATGGAGCTCAGAGGGTTGAAGGTGTGGAATTGGATGGTTTTGAAGGTCCCAAACCATTCTGGGATTCACTGCACGATGCCAAGTTCACCCAGAAGGGGCAAAATCGCATCCACAGTTAATTCTGGCTACAAAAACCTAACGCAGAGGGAAGCCCAGAGCAGGTAACAGGATTTCCCACAGAAAATTGAATAATGCAGGTAAACAACGTGAAAATAATTACAGTCATTAAAAGCATTACACGTGGGGGAAGATTTGTTTGGAGAGCAATTAAGACCTCGTGTATAAAGCTTGGCTCATCTTCCTGGAAGTTCAGGAAAGCCTATAAAACTCCAAGGGTTGAGGGCTCCTCTGGCTGTTTCCCTGGATTCCTTCCTGGATAGTTGGTAAGTCCCTCTCACCTCAGTTAATTGTGGTGGGGGAAAACACTTTGCCAAGAGTTGGGGTTTAACAGCAGTTCTGTGCTTGCCAAAGCTACCAGCGAGCCTTATTATTTATATATTTTATATATATATATATAAAAATATATAAAATTTTATATAAAAATATATAGAAATGATTAACTATATATAAAATATATAGAAAAATGTTATATTTGTGTTTTATATATTTTAAAATTTTATATATTTTTATATAGAAATATAATATATACAATATAAAATATAAAATATTTTATATAAAATATAGATACTAGATACTATATATTATACAATATTTTTATAACATATAAATTTATATAAATTTATACACAATATAGGATATTATATATGTTAGATATACATTATATATTATATATTATATAAAATATATTAGTATAATATATTACATATCATTATATATAATATATAATATATAACAATAATATATAACAAGTATGTTATATATTATATATTACATATTATATATTATATATTACATATTACATGTTATATAAATCCTGTAAATATATTACATATATTATGTATTATATAATATATAATTATATATAATATTATATAATCTATATAATATTATATAATTTGTATATTGTATATAATATAGTATTTATATAACACAATATTTGTGCATTTGCACCCCATTCATCCTTAACCATATCTCAATAACCCACCTTTTATTTTTGTTTTGTTTTGGAGAAGAGTTCCACCTTCTCCCCACCCCTCACCAGCTGTGGTCCCTCCTCCTCCCTGCCAGGAGGAGCCCCCCGAGGTTCGAGTGGTCCGTGGGTGGGGGGTAACATGGGCAGGGCGTGGGTTGTGAACCCTTCCTTTACCCTGCCGATGCTCTCCATGCTCTCCGCAGGTTCTCCTCCATCCATTGATGTCCTCGGGAGGGGAGCACAAGCCGGGGCAGAGTTTCCCCTCCTGCCCCCCGCGATGTCCCCAGGCTGTCGCCACCGGCCGCAGCGAGCCCTGCTCGGTGTCCTGCGCCGCCTCCAGGGTCATCATTTACCCCCCGCCCGTCGTGGTGACCTTCCCGGGGCCCGTCATCACCACGTGCCCGCAGCAGGCCGTGCTGGGCGGCCCTGGGGGGGAACGACCTGCCTCGATGACGTCCTTGAGAGAGGAGATCCCTCAGCCAGAGCCGCGTGCGGGGACACCCGTCGCCGTCCCAAAACGGAGGTCCCACCCCAAGCGCGGCCCGCGGCGCTGCTCCTACGTGTTCGCTTCCCGCTGGATCCACCCCTGCAGCAGAGCCAGCTCCAGGTTCTCCCAGGAGAGCGAGGGTGAAGGGGAAGAGCTCAATCCCGAGAAGGACGAGGCGGGAACTGAAAATGTGGATGCAGGGAACGAGGACGAAGAGCCACGCGGCGAAACCGCCCCCCGAGGCCTTGTAGGCCCCTGCTGCCCCTCTGGAGCAGATTCACCTCTGTCTCCTTGAAATTGTGCTTTGGCTCAATGTTTTAAGGTGCTTTCCTCTCCCTCAGACCCGTTATCAAGCAGGTTATTAGAGGAATTAATTAGCCTAATTTGGGATAAACACGACCTTTGAAATCCGATTCTCGGGATCGATTCGTTCTTTTCCCGTTGCTTCCCTCGAAAACAAAGGCAGCTGCTGTGTCAGGAACCCCACAAGGGTGGTCACCTGAGGGGTGTCAAACCTTTTCACTGACAGAATTCATTAGACTGGTCTTAATATTTAAGAGAATTAGCAGGGAAATCACTTTTTCCTTTTTTCTTTTGTTTCTGGCTTTCACTTTCACAGCAGGAAAAAGAAAAAAGTTCAACCTCTCCTTGTATTTAATTTAAGCAAAAAGGAAGACTGGATTTGATTCAGTTTTGCATGTAGAAGAAAACCTGTGGCTGCCCCAGCCCTGGAAATGTCCAAGGCCTGGTTGGACAGGGCTTGGAGCAACCTGGGCTGGTGGAAGGTGTCTCTTCCCATGTCCTGGATGATCTTGAAGGTTCTTTTCCAACCCAAATTCTGTGATTTTATGCCCAAAGTGTCAAAATCTGCACCTGGAACTGTGCCCTTGGTGCTGTTATTTATTTTAGCAGTTCTGTTCTTTCCCTTCCCATTAAAATGATTTTGCCTCATGGTGCTCTTCTCGTTTTCTTTCCCTTTTGCTCTTGATTTGCAGGTGAAATTCAGGCTCAGTTTTGAGTGGTTTGGAGCCTTCGTGCCTCGATGTGTCAGCTGAGGAGGAACAAGCAGAGGAAAAGGGATCACACACCCTGAGAAATCTTTCTTATTATTTAATTCAGTTCAGGAAAAGCCTCCAGTTCCCCCCACTCTCTCAATCCCTTTCCA